AATATGACATAGAAGCATTAGTAAACAGAATGAAATTTCATTTTGATGGATAACCAATATTCTTTGCAATAAAGAAACACCGGTAATATTATACACCAAATATCATGAATATTTCAAATTGGATTTCCTAATTGAAACAATTATTAGTCAAATGAAATAGAAAACAATATTTCCCAATAATTCCTATTTCAACTTATGAACAGCCTCAGATACCTTCATAACAATGAACGGCCGCTCGTCACACATTCCCGCCTGAGATATGGCATAATATTCTGGGGAAATACATCTTATAGCTCCCAGACTTTTAGATTTACAAAAACGAATTGTACGAATAATAAGCAAATCCCACCCACGTAATTCTTGTTAGCTTCTCTTTATTAATCTACGTATTTTACCATTACCTTGTCTCTTAATATATGAATCAGTGCTTTTTGTCAAAAATGACTCAAGGACGGGAATATATTTTCAGCAATCGCCGTTGTTTATAACTACAACACTCGGCGCAATAATCACATTCATCAGATAATAGTATCAACAGCTGACTACAAACAGTTTACATATAATACATGTACATTATTTTACAACACCTTGCCAGACGACATTAAACGATAAAATGCGTCACAAAAATTTAAGTCCCAAGTAAAATCTTTTCTGCTGCACAACTGTTTCTATACAATTAGAGACTATACTGAGCATCCAAAAGGAAAGTGATATTAATTTTTAAAATGACATTTAATGTATTATATATCATTTGGATTGTATAATTGTAAAGAACATGTAAAAAGTATTGTACTTCAGCTTCTGGGTCAATGACCCCCATCTCGATTAGGTTTTCGTTAAGTTTCCTTGATCCTCGAGCAAATGCTGAGATGACCCCTTGTTTTGCTTGTGGGCAAAATGTAACTTCAAATTAACTTCTCCCTATAGCAGTTCATACACAGTTTTTAACTGTTTTTGACGTAAATAAATAAATAGTATCAGTCGAGAGAGTTCTGGAGAAAAGTGACACTAAATGACACAGATTATTACTTTGCCGATAGAATGAGAGTATTGAACAAATTGTCATGGTTACCTCTAGACGAAAATAAACGTTCTCCTTACGAATTAGGCACTCGGTGCTTATGCACGCCTCTTTTCTGCCGCGTTTTGGAAATTGAGTTCACGGAGACTTCAGAAACGTGCTGGGCATTGCTTGTCAATGTACCAAATGAAACTTTCCATGCGCCCAATACACGTTTCACTTAGCATCTCTGCACGATAGCTACGAAACTGCTCGCGGCTCCTCTGATTTTCAAACAATGCGAGCTCGTCGGGTTGGATGTGGGAAAAGAAATTGGATTCAGAGATATGAGAGTGGTTAAATTTTTTGTCGCGGCCGCTCAGGAGGTGGTGCGATCAATTCGAAGCAATTGACAATCGATTTCAAAGAGCTTTGTACAAAAAATGAGTAACTGGTCAATTGTGAAGGAAATTGCGCTATTTTTAAACATGATTAGACCATCTACATGGCGGCAAGTTTGAAATGTATCTTCATTCTAAAATGCCTTCAATGAGAAACGAAACAGCTATTCGAAGCGTGGCGCACAAATTGAATTAATGTGGTGGCCCATGTATCAACATCCTCAGAGTTTGATTTCGTATTAAGGGATGTAATTGTCATATAGCTATTTTACCTGTTTTTCTACTCTGGATGTCTTGTGTACTACCACCCCCTATTTCTTGCTATTTGAGTACCTAAATAGATAACATTCTGGCATAATTTCAATTCTGGTTTTTTGGATATACATCTTGGTTTCTCCTACAATCAGATATTGTTTTATTAAAATGTATTTAGAGCCCCCAATTTAAGTACTCTTCATGAAGTTTTCGCATCATATACAAATATAATCTTCCTCTTCAGCGACGATAACTTGGTCGACTGCAACATTAAGAGAGTAGAGCATAGAATTGTCAATTTTTACGCCAAGATAGCAACTTATTCTCCTCCAGTTTTTTAAAACTTCTTTTAAACATAATTTAAACAGAGTAGGGACTATGCAACAGTCTTACCGTAAGCTTTTACTTACAAAAAATGGTTTGGAAAGGTTTCTTCCAATTTTAATCTGACTTACACTTTTGCCTGTATAGGTCTTTAACAGCTTTCAATAAGTACTTCTTAACATCTTGTTTCTCCATTATCAACCAGAGTTTATTCAATGGAACTGTGTCGTAGGCTTTTCTTAAATCTGTAAATACTAGGCGAGTTTCTAAATCATGGACAAGCCGATTGTCTGTCACTAGTCTGACCCTAAATATATTATCAGTATATGAGCGTCCATCAATTACGCCGCTCTGTTCTTTCACAACAATGAGAGCCATTTCAGGACAACATTGTAGTATTTTTCAATACAGCCGACCAATGCTACAGAGAACAGTTACACCTCTGTAATTCCCACATTGTTTTCTGCCACATTTTTTGTATATGTTAGAAATAACTTTCTCTAAAGTCCTCTGGCGTCTCCCTTCATACATCTATTGTACAGCTGACAAAGACTTTGGAGAAGTAACACTAAGATCATTTTTAACAGCTCCATATACAAGCACAGTTCGTACACTGCACTTGGGTCTGAAGACTTTCCATTTCATTTCGAAGAGCCTTTCCAATCTCATTTACTGTATTGTCTTCCATGACATTCTCTCATATCATTTATGAAATCTTCTCTTTCGTCTTACATCAATTCTAGATATTATTCTTTGTACTCTTGTAGGATTATACGATGTAAGGCTGAACAGAGTTTCTCATTTGTTCTTAAATTATTTATAAATTTCCAAGATTCTCTTGCTTTGGTATTGCCAATGCCTTAGTCATTAGTAATAACCAATGCATGAGTCACTTCTCATTTCTTTTCCCAAACAGAATTATTAGCTTTCATAAATTCATAGCAATAAACTTTTTTTTGTCCCTGCTTGTTTGACTACACATTTTTGGCATGATCTTGAGTACTTAAACATTTTCTTTAACCATTTTAATTCTCTCTTACTTTCTTTTCTAAAGAAATGAAGAGAAAGTATTGCAATCGTGCGCCAGAAAACGGCGAATTTTCGACTCAAAAGCTCTTATTGCCAGGCCCTTGTCAAAAAGAAATAAATCCAGTTGCTAAATGTCATCTCTAACACGTGGTGTAGCTAAAATCCATATTTCGTGCGTCCTTGATACCGTAAAATCAATTGACGGCAAAACGCTTCTCTGTTTGTCCCTCCGTCCTTGAAAATGTTTATACATATGGTTACAACACATTAAATTATTTATTGTTCAGAAATGTGTATGAATGTCAATATCTAATTTACTGGAATGAACAATATTGTGTGATTATAAATGTATTTACAGTAGTTTTTTAGTACAGTGTGCTTCCTGTAAATTATTATTAAATGTTGAAAAGTTTAAACGTAAAAACTCTGCAAAATAACTGGCCATTATTCCGAAGGCAGACGTTCGCGCGCTTTTTAGAGCATCCAGACGGAAACATTTAATTTCTACACAATTTTTCACATCTCATCTCACAAGTGCCTCTGGTTCGAGCCTGTCTCAGCGATAATTACACAGGCTTGCAATTTAAAAGCCATAAAACTTTTTTTAATTTATAAAAAATACGTCGTTTTTTGGGGATGCTGATTTCATGCCTGAGCTCAGTTTTATCTCAACATGCACAATTTTTTTTACATAACTGACATTACATTATCATGTTTATTTTAAAAATAAAACACGTTCTCTAGAAAATAATACACACAATTTTTTGTAATACAAATTATATATATTTTTTTATTTCCAAAAACATTATTTAAGTGTCTTGCAATATCTTTTTCTTTTTTGTATGAAGTTGGGAATGACTATGCTCCGTGACGTGTCCGGTAGAGCATCCAGCAGTCGTCGCCCATCATGGTTACGTTCTATCGACCATGAAATCTCTTTTTAATTTTTAAAAAATTTATTTCTTTAAAACTTTTGCTCATCTTTCAGCTAGTTAAAATGATGAGAAGGGATTGCGGAACTGAAGAAAACATGTGCAAATAGTCTCCCCCATACCCCACATACGATTATTACTGTTTTTTTACTAAATAAATCTAAATCTAAATCTAAATGTAAATCTTCTTAATATATTGGAGAAAATGTTCTCCTTGGTCCTCGCACCATGCTTCCAACACCACCATTGTTTCGGCGACTTTCTACAACTACAAAACTGAAGATAGAAAATTTTCCTTCAAATGAAATGTGTTATCCGTAATTAGTTCTTTCATTATTATCATGTAAACGTTTTCAAAATTTTAGAAGTTTTCACGCAATATTTGCAATTTAAAAACAAAATTTTCCAAACATTGCTCCAATTTTATTCTGTAAACGTTGTTGGTATAGTGCTAAATGTACGCTATACGATGACATAAATACAAATCAGCCTATTTTGTTTGTTTGTTGTTGTTTTTTTCAAAAATTACAAAAATGTATATTTTTCTGTCTTGTGACTCACGTCGTTAATATTTACATTAGTGACAATTTGTTCACATGATTATATTTATGATTACATGTCTTTTAAATCATATTTTATAAAGTTTCTCTGAAACTGCACATTTTCTTGTGAAAATAAGTTCAAAATACCCCATTTTCAGAAAGGCTCAAACGCCATTTTCACAAAAATTGCAACAATTTTTTTCCTGAAACTTTATCAACGGATAGTGCTAATTGCACTTTTTAATATGCCCAAAAGTTTATTTTGTGGTATCCTTTTGTTTTTTCGAAAGTAACACAAATGTATTTTTTATAAATAACTCTCACGGTGTTAATAAGCACTTTTCCAGCGATTTGTAAAAACTAAAGTATTTGTGAGTGAAAGTTTTTCAAATAATTTCAAATGTAGTTTTTCAAAACTTAAAAATTTTCTGTGAAGAAAAGCTTCGAATTTCGCATACAGTATCGCTTAAACGCAATTTTTAAAAAAATGACTCAACATTTTTCAGTGAAAATTGCCATTTATGACGACGTTTTCCTCTTCTACAATATTCTTAAAGAAATGTTCCGGTTCTGCTATGTTCCCTTGGCGGCGATGGAAGAGAACGAGCCAAGCGCCGTGTGCTCGCTCACCTGTAGTGCGGGTCCCGCGCGAAGCCGGTGTCCACCCAGAAGGGGTAGACGACGGTGACGCAGATGTCGCGGCCGCGCGGCGACCGCCGCAGCTCCTCGCGCAGCGCCTCGGCCAGCCCTCAGTCACACAGAACTTTGCAACTATTTTTGCAATTACTGTGAGTCAAGTTGTTGTCTATAAGAACACTCCATAAGAAAATATGAACAGCATTCAAGTGACATATTTCTCTCTTTACCATACTCTCGATCCAGGTACGTCATACAATGTTGATCGGGCTCCACATCGAAAACAATAATAAAAAAAGTATCAGTAAAAAATAAATTTAATATATGCAAACAAATTTAATATATTTTTATTGTTAATTTACATGTATTTATAACGAATTCAATTGAGGCATTGAATGATTTTCTTTCCATAGAAAAGTAGTAAAAACTGTGTTTGTGAATGTTTTATTTGCATTACGGAGGGGTACTGATGCCTTGCAGGCTCCCTTCTCCTTGCTTACATAATTGATTATATTTTATTATTACAAACGTTAACAAGATACATTTTGCAGTAAGTTGTGATGAGCAAGAAAAAAACATGAACTGAAAATTAATCCTCCACAGAGGTAAAGAACGTTGGTAAATCTTTAATACAAATTAGCTGAAATTCTGAACGCCAGCATGCGTCTCGGCAATCTCGATTCGTGTCCCATTAACTTACCTCTGACGGCAAACTTGGAGCTGCAATACGCGGTCTTGCTGGCGGAGCCCACCAGGCCGTTCATGGAGCTCATGGCCACGACGTGGCCGCGGCCGCGCTGCAGCATGTGCGGCAGGAACGCCTTCAGCGTCTGGAACGAGAACCGTTGCTGTTGCCTCTGCTCATACGAGAACCAGCACGCTGCTTGCATGGCTTAAGACCTCATGAAGTATCCTTAACTTTCCGAATTATATAAAATAATATTACACCCTTGTCCTTCACACATTCGCACTTTGAATACTGGATACGTTGGCTCAAGACAACTATTTCCACAGCAGCAATTCTGTGGGGGAGGGGGAAGAGTCAACGCGAATGCCACGGCAGTACTTTGACTAACAGGTCAAAGGGTTACGCCCTATTTTCCCTTTCTCGTCCATGTTCCCTCCTCTTGCACCTCATAAGTCGAGAGATCAGCCGGAAGTCGAGCTTGTTCCAGTGCTCCGGCAACTCCCGTGGTAAGGCATGGAAGCCACTATGAGCTAAAGAGCACGTCAGTCACCCAAAAGTGCGCGAGCACGTTGACGCCGAAGTGGCGCTGCACATCGGCCGGGTCGTGCATCAGCAGCGAATCGTAGCGCAGCACGGCGGCGTTGTTCACCAGCACCGTCACCGGCCCCACGTCGCGCAGCACGTCCACCGCCGCCATCGCCACGTCCTCCGGGTCCGACACGTCCACGGTGTACGCGTGCGCCTGCGCAAGCCCAGCGCTTCATTAGTGGAGACGCGCTCAGCGACTTCTCAACACCGTCTCGGAAGGGAACGAACGCATTCTAATTCGTGTAATGTGTGATGTGTGTGGTGTTGTATTTTAATTTACGCTCTCCTATGGCGTTACATGTGGGTAAATTCTTGCTCTTACGGCTACCACTACCACCACCAGCACTACCACTACCACTGCTACTGCTATCTTTCAAATACACCGCAACGAGTTGGATTTTTACCAACTAAAAAAACTGCCTTCGCCTATGCGGTCCATCCCGAAACTGCTGGATGCATGTCGTCAGCTGTCTTCGTGTAAGGGACTACTTTCATTTATCTTTATCTTGCTTGTGACTCTTTTTCCATCATCACTGATTTGGAGAACTTTTGAACGGTTGAAGGCCTGTTGTTTCGGTCTTCAAGTATTACCTCCATCATGCTATCTGGGCCAACAGCCCTCCCTGCGTGAAAGGCCAAATCATGTCTCTCTTTCTCCCAGAGGGGGCACAAAACACGGGTTCTGCTGTGCCTTTTTCTTGGCAGAATACACAGGTGTCCTCGTGTGATTTGCCAATCTTTTTGGCGTACTCCTTGAATTTTCCATGTCCTATGAGTATTTGTGTCAAGAAGTTGTCAAGTTGGCGCAATTTTCTACAGTGTCATTTATGTGTCTGGGATTAGTAGTTTATTCCACTGTGCGAAGACGTCTATTTTGGTCTACTGTTCCAGCCATTCGTGCATTATTCTTTTCTTAATATTTTCTTTACACTCAATGGAGTTTCCAGAGCGGCTCTCATGAATATGGCGCCTTTCTTTAATTTGCAGGTCAATTGCCATAATAGCTCATAAAACGTGTAATGCTGCTGTAGATATGATTCTGTAACTGCAGGTAATTCTTAGTAACATTTTTCTTTGGGCCTTTTCCAAAGCTTTTCTTTGCTTCTTCTACATTAACGCTTTATGCCATACAGGAGCTCCATAGACGAGCATTGAATTTACCGCACTGTAGAGCATTTCGCGCTCTGCTGTTCTCTGTCTTCCAATGTTGGGCATTAACCGCGCATTATTGCCACCTTTTTTCTATTTTGATCATGGTACCTTTGGTGTGCTTCCCGTACATCTAGGTTTTGTCGCGCCGAGGTAGAGAACTGCGTTGGTTGGTGTACTCGTTGCATCGAGGGGCTGGAACGCTATATTTGTTTTTTCTTGGGTTCTTCAAAATAACCGCTTCTGTTTTCTCTGGTGCTAGGTTGAGATTGTTCTCATCCACCCATCTATTTATGTCTCAGGGATTCATATGCCCTTAATTGTGACCACAAGAGCTAGATAGTCTGCAAACCCAATTACCGACGCTCATTTCGTTAAAGTTTGTGCATCCCATTGTACAAAATATTCCACACAGTGGGACCAATCCCTGTGGGACTCCCGCATGCATTTGACATTTTTTTCACAGTTTTATAGTTTTGTTCTGATAATATCGCACAACCAGAGGTATGGTGAGATGTTGCGTCTCTTCCATTCTTTAATTGTTAACCTCTGTGTGGCGGAAAAGTTCCACTCTACGACTAAATTCGCGGACACAGGAGCGTCAATAACGAGTATGAGTTTGGGGACAGTTATTCTCATCCCATGAAACAAATGCGCTCGCTCCTATTCATGTACGAGTTAGAAAATGTCAATACTCGTCGAACATCTTCTCAGCGCATGTGGTAAAGTGCTTTTAACTTCATCTATCATTTTACATCAAATTATTAATCTCTCTTTCGAAAACGAAAAAAGGGGCCCATGGTTTCGAATTAGAGAGGAAAGAGCAAGGGGAATTTCCAGCCTTGTTGCCACAAACGACGAAGAACGCTTTTATATTTACTAGAATGACCAGTGACTGTTTTGATGAAAATTGGAACCTGATCGATATACTTTTGTAGATTGTTCGTTGTATTTGCATATTTTCCAACGCTATCAGTATTGTATTTATTAATTTTTAATTATTTTGCTTTCTCGCATCTTATTTTTTGCACCAAATCATTTACAATTTCAAATAAATTTAACAAAAAATAATTCGGAGAGGAATTGCGGTATAAATAGTACTACATAACCATTATTAATGGCGAGAAGAGAACGTGCAGTTTTAGCACCACTAGTTTTATTTCTTTGTGTTTTGTGTCTTCTTGATATCTGAGAAGACCATCTCACTATACACGACCAGCTTATCAATTGCAGTCCGTATTTCACACACAAAGTAATTAATGCAAGGAGAAAAAATAACTAAACCAATGGCACTTAAAAGTGAATTGGTTTGCTTATCTCCAATGCCAGAACGTACTGCAGGTATCACGGCGGCTCATCTGCATATTTTCTCTCATCGTCATAATTAATTCGTTTACAAGATATTTCATTTCAGTGTCATACAAATCCACGTCTTCCGCCAAGGTCCTGGTACCATCTTGCAGCGTTAGAGTGCGCTGATCACTCTTCGTAGTTGTGGCTCGAGTCCACTAGAGAGCGTGTCGACCGCAGTCAGTCAGTCGAACTGTCCGTGGCAATGAGGCCTTGGCAAATTGGCTGCCACGGCACAGCACAGAATCCTCGATTTACAAAATAACAGACATTTGACGCCCTTTGGGTTCAATGACGAATTCAGAACAATTCCGTGGGTTGTATCATATAAAATCTCAACAGTTCCAATTAATATTGCTCGTTGGAATTGACGCAGTTCGTAGCAGACGTATTAAGCATATTCTAACGGGCAACGGTTGTGACAAGCGACATACACAAACTAAAAAATACTTCATTCAGCACAGCGCAGCAAACCGACATAGTGCGAACACGTTTTCAGTCTGCAAATAATTAGTAGACAGGTACTACATAGCACCTCAACACACGAGGATGCTCGCACAAAAAATAACGGCGTTCGAAAAGCGGAGCACTCACCAATGCAACAGCACCCAGCTACCTCTCCAACTCCTACTCATACTCCTAATATGCTATTCCTGCTTTTACTGCTACTGTTACCGCTACTGCTATCACTACCACTACCACTACAACGACCACCAGCATCAGCACTACCACTCATAAAATTAACAAATTAAATGAAAAATATAAAACGGTATGACGTATAAATTGTTACAATCAATGGAAATATATTGTCATTAACTGTATATTCATTGAACGTGTTAGATTACGAAGACATTATTGAAAAATAATCTACAGTATCTTCTCCATATTGTGGAAATGATGAAAGTGGCGCAGCGGCATCGGGGCAGGAGCCGCCTAGTTGGTCAGACACTCTCTCGCCTGCCTACGCGTCCCTCCGAGAGCAAACATTTGTCCCACACTTATTATTAGTTGCAGTCTCACGTTAATTATCAAAAAATAATACATAGCTCAAATAACATTAATACATTTCGTTACTGCCTTTGCGTAATATATTTCATTGTACTTGGCGCGTCGTCACGTATAAGGGCCATGGCCTACCGGCGACGTCGTGCCTCGCGGCCATAGGTTAAGGGGATACGTGTGGTTAGCACCTACACATCCCCACGCCGTATTCCGGTCTTCTCAAATGAAAGCGAGTTTTCTCATCGTCACACAGCAACTGGAGTATTGCAAGGCAATCGTCCGTGACCGGGAACCGAACCACGAGTCGCGTCATGGAAAGCGAGCACGCTGGCCGATGTGCTAAGCCGCAAGATAGTAAATGGCGGAAAACACCATTTCTTGCAAATCCGCATCACTTACCTGATAGCTCATTCGCTTAGTACTAATAGGACGTAGGACTAGATCATTTTTAGTTCTCATCAACCTTTCCTCCAGAAATTGGGTTTTTACGAGAGGTACTGCCATTATCAGAAAAGGCCGAAATGCATGAAAAATTATACAAATAATTTAAATATTAATTATAATTACAATCATGAATAAAGTTCCTGAGATAAAAAAGAACATTGAATATGCCATGGATACATATATATTCAATAACAATTGACAATTACAGATATTAATGGATTATTATCTTGCAACTTGAAATAATGAAAATAATTACTGTAAATAATTGTCATCTGTAATAGGCTGAAAAA